TTCACTGATTCCGAACACCTCCAATTTGTAAATCCTGATTTCCGTAGCTATTTGATTGATCCTATCGATCTACCATATTGTCCAGACATTTCATGTACCGATCTTAGCTGTTGCTCTGGTTGTTAGAAGGGGCATCGGCCTCGTTACTTCCGAAGAATCTCGACTCTCACCATGAGGCATCATAATCCTTCTGAATGAAGATCCCCCTACTCTCAGGGAAGATCTCAAATGGCTTAAATTGTTCACTCTGGTTAGTGTGCTTTTAGCAAGGTTGTTTTCTATGTAGTGGGGTTGTTTATTCCATGTCCAACCCTTCTCCATTGTTCGGGCTTGGGACTGGCATAAACCCTAAGAGGGCTACAGCAAAAGTTGTCTGGATTATCATCTTGTTTTAATTGGTGACTGCCATGCATTTCCTCGAATCCTAGTAAATATTTATGACATGTGAATCTAATCAGATCCACGTTGAGATGAAAAGTCAGTGGTAGCAGTAGATGAGGATTGCGGTTTATAAGAAATGGACTAAAATGGTCTGACACTATGGTGTTCTTCTGCAGGCCTAAAGATCTTGGCTCTCATTATATGTAAGTGCATTCCTAGTCAATGTTTGAGATTCATTGATAATACTCGGTTATTCAAACTTAAGTATGGAGCGGTCTTGCACCCAAAACCTATTAGTTGAAAGTGGGATGTTTTAAATAACAATCCATCGTTATGTTGTCCTACGATGCATTGATAGATACTAAAAGGATTATACCATCTAGTGAGATATGCTTCAGTAAATGTCACATTTACGGTATACATTAGTAAATTTGCTTGAAATCGCCTTAGTTAATACCTATTAACAACTTAATTTTCGTAACAAATCCATCTGAACGGTCAGCAGACAATCTTGGTTTTTTAAACGTAATACTGATCAAAAAAGATTGAGGTGCCTGATCATAAGCAAGAATAAATAATCTTCATAAGCTAGACTTCAAAGCTAGTTGGGCTAACGTCCAAAAGGTCTTTTCCATGTGACAACCTCATATCAGTTACTTACTTACACCTGTTACTCCCAATCGAGCATAGGCCGTCATATCAGTTACACAATCAAAAAACATACTTGGTACATTGATACTACATCATGCATTCAGAGTAAAACTAAGAATTGTTTACCCCTCAGGTTTATAATATTTCGAATCCACAGTGCATAACCAAGTTATTTCTCCCCCTTAAAGTAATTAATATGGCGTTTAATTTTATTACTTTGCCTGAGTAAAGTGTATAATCTAGGAACTGAGACAACACTCTTATTTGACGTAGTAATTATACAAAGAATATTGTGGGTAGCTTGGAAGCATTTTTAGTTTTCTTTTACTCAGACTACATTTGGCAAATCGATTTAGTGTTGTCAGTTGAATTAAACATCAGTTCTCAGTAATAAATATTATAGATTGAACGTTGATTTGGCTGTAGCAATTCTTACACTAAGTATTTCTGTTAAGCTTTAGTTTCTTCTCAAAAGGTTCATTGATGAAGCTGATATGACTTGTTCGGATAGAGGATCTTGTCGATCTGAATAATCCATACGATATTAATTCAGTTCTCTGGTCAAATGTGTTCAGTGGGATGACCGCAATATACTTTCTAGATGATATAAAAGTCTGGAGAATAATAAGTAGTGATAATACTAAGCTCGAGAGTAAGCTGATTCAAATGAATGAGCTAGGTGCTCACAAAGTTTGGATTGGAAGACCAATATCAGAAAGTGACCGAGTGCACTTCAGCCACAACGACAACAACAACGACGACCAGAATTACATGACAAATGGAACGCCACTCTCACAAGATTAAGAACACCTAGAAACTTTAAGTCGTGACTTGAAAAACACCTCACACTACAATGCAACAGCTGCTAAATAGTGCTGCGTAGTATGGTCACTTCACAAAATCTTTAGATGCCTTGACGAAAATATTTTTCAGATTTCATACCACACTCACCTGACACTTCACCTAAAATAATGCATACACGCAGCTAATCCATGTCTTTTTAAGGATACTGACACTCTCGAGCATGTCTGACAAGTAAGTAATAACACAGTAAATGTTCTGACCAGTTTCTCGCATCATAAGAAATTACAACACTTAAATTCTCTACCTTATAATCAAATGTGAGGTCAGGTTACATTGGAATTTCATACCCTGAATGATCGGTTATGTGCTGACATGTCTACCTTCTTGTTAGCTTGAAGATTAACCATCCTCGATGCCTTCACATAAAGGTAAAAAGACTCACAATTAAACACACTCAAGATAGGATTCTATTTTCTCAGTGATCATCGACAAGATCCTCTATCCGGACAAGTCATATCGGTTTCATCAATGAACCTTTTGAGAAGAAACCCAAGCTTAACAGAAATATCTAGTGTAAGAATTGCTACAGCCAAATCAACCTCCAACCTATAATATTTATTACTGAAAACTGATCTTTAATCCAATTCATGTATTTGTGACATGTTTTGGTCTGGCCGCCCCTTGCTTTCTTCCATCCTACTCCTACACCATAAAACATCGCTTGTCGGAGTAACAGAGTCAAATGCCGCCTTAAGTCGAAAAATACTACTATTTTGGAACGTCTGAATGTTTATCTATGTTCTAGGATCTGACGAATTAGGATTATCTGGTCTATACAGCCACGTCCAAGTCGGAAACTAGCCTGGTTTTCTCTAGTCTGCTCTGCACAAGATTTAGTTAGGCGTCGAAGTATTATTAAAGCTAATATTTTATACACTGTATTAGTCAGACCGATCCCTCTGTGATTGTCACAAGAGGACTTTTGTGCCTTCTTATAGACTAGCATAATCACTGATTGAGACCAGTCAGACGGGATTACGTCCAGTTCCCAGATTCTAAATAAGACCTTAGTCAATCTCACTGCCAATACTGAACCGCCATCCTTAAAAATCTCAGAGGTAAACCTGTCAGGGCCTGCTGCTCTCCCTCGCTTCAGATTTCCTACAGCTTTTTCAACTTTGTTAAGTGTTGAAGGACCTACATCAACATGCCATTCAGGTCGACTGTAGATTGAGGGAAACCGAAGTGTGGTTGAAGGCCAGTTGAAATGATCCCCAAAGTGTTCTGCCCATCGATCCAATCTCCTGGACTGAGAGTGAGTAATATGTTCATCTTTTCCCGAGATAGTTTCGCTAAAAGTTGGATTCATAATACCTGTAACCTTGACAAGTCTTAACAGTTGTCTGCTGCTACGGCAGTCAGATATAGAAGTAACTTCAAACAGTCCACGTTCTATTTAGAAAGATCTCGGGGGAAGAACAAGTGCCACAGATAGACTAGAAAGAAGGATATTTCATCAAGATACCACAAAAAGACCTGAGCACGTGTGAGAGCTACAGGGGCATCACACTACTATCCATACCAGGAAAGGTTTCAAAAGAGTGTTATTGGACTGGATGGAAATTTCAGTAAACGTTCAGCTTCAAGATCAACAGACCTGATTCAGTAGGGATCGGTCGTGCATAGACCAAATCGCGACACCAGGATCATTGTTTAGTAATCGATTAAATGGAACTCGTCACTATACATCAACTTCCTTGACTACGAGAAATTATTAGGCAGTGTATGTAGGAGGACTTTATGGAAACTTCTTCGACACTATGGAGTGAGTAGCTAAGAACACCGTCAGCATCATACGGAATTCATACGACGGACTACAGTGCAAAGTGGTGCATGTAGAACAGCTGACAGACACATTCCAATTAAGGACCGGAGTCAAACAAGGCTATCTATTCTCCTCCTTTCTATTTCTTCTTGTGGTTAATTGGATTATCAAGACGTCCACATCTCAAGGAAACCACGGAATACAATGGACAGGTTGTATGCAACTAGACAGTTCGGACTTCGTAGATGACCTGGCCTTTCAATACCGTACACATCAACAAATGCATATCAAGACAGCCAGTGTAGCAGCAGCCTCTGAAGCAGTAGACCTCAACATACACAAGGGAAAACTCATGATCCTCAAATGCAACACGGAGAACACCAATCCAATTATAATTGATGCAGAAACTTTGGAAGATGTGGTCTTTCACGTACCTAGGAAGCATCATCGGTGAACAAGGAGGACCTGATGCAGATGTAAAGGCGAGGATTGGCAAAGCAAGTACAGCATTCCTACATTTGAAAAACATATGGAACTCAAAACAACTGTCTATAAACCAATATCAAAGTCAGGATCTTCAATACGAACGTCAAGACAGTTCTATTGTACAGAGCTCAAGCTCTGAGAACTATTACAACCACCATCAAAAGGGTACAGGTATTTATAAGCAACTTTCTACACAAGATACTCATTGAGGTTGTGAATCTTCATCGACTGAGATGGTTGGGTCACGTGTTACGTATGCCTGAACACCGATTACCACGACGTGCAACGCTAACCGGTGTTCGGGATGGTTGGAAGAAATTTAGGGGCGGCCAAACCAAAACGTGGCATCAGTGCTTGAAGTCACTAACTTCTAGTCTGAGCCATGTTGGTAGATGCAGACTACTTGGTTGGGATCCGCGTGACTATCGTAACCAATGGTTGGAGACTCTTGGTGACATGGTCCGGAATCGATCACAATGGCGTTACTGTTTAGACTGTCTCCTCTTAGAGATTAAAATCGCTTCATATCTTTCTTTCTATGAACTAATCCTTTCCTCCTGTACTATATCCTTATTGCAACCTTTCTTTTATATATTACCACAACTGAATTAACTACTTCTATAAATCCGGTGTCCATCTTGTTATGCTAATGAGGTATGGCAACTTGGACCGATGCATATATGTGCCTGGTCCTACGTTGTAGCTGATTGACAGTCCGTTGGCCGGATACCATCAACAACAGCCTACCGCGGGAGAGAACAAACCAGCATCCAACTGAGACGGGAACTAGGAAAAGACACTGAGTCAAGTCTGATATGCGTTCGATAGCTATAATAAAGGACTATGTAGTGTCACGAAACCGGTTGTAATATGACACTCACTTTATTTGCGATTACTTTCCCACAAATTTCAAAACGCGTATCCTTACTCAATACCATAAAACTCCTAATGCCTATGTCATCAAACACACTGTGTCCAAACAACTCGTTCTACAACATCATTGAACCACGAATAACTTTGCTGAAATCTGTATAGGCTCGAATATCCATCGACCGTATCACACTGCTAAGACGCATTACTTAGTACGATTCAACAGACCGACATCATTCGAAGCACGCGAAAACGACTACATTTAGAAATAAAATCAAACTAAAATTTATTTTCTAATTTTACATTAACAGAAATCACATGCCTCCACGTAGGCGCAGAACAAGATGTAAGGTTGACTCTTTCTGGATGTTGTAGTCAGACAGAGTACGTCCATCTTCCAACTGCTTACCAGCGAATATCAAACGTTGTTGGTCAGGAGGAATACCTTCTTTGTCTTGGATCTTCGCTTTCACATTCTCAATAGTATCACTAGGCTCAACCTCCAACGTGATCGTCTTACCAGTCAACGTCTTCACAAAGATTTGCATTCCACCACGTAGACGAAGGACAAGATGCAGAGTCGACTCTTTCTGGATGTTGTAGTCAGACAGAGTACGTCCATCTTCCAACTGCTTACCAGCGAATATCAAACGTTGTTGGTCAGGAGGAATACCTTCTTTGTCTTGGATCTTCGCTTTCACATTCTCAATAGTATCACTAGGCTCAACCTCCAACGTGATCGTCTTACCAGTCAACGTCTTCACAAAGATTTGCATTCCACCACGTAGACGAAGGACAAGATGCAGAGTCGACTCTTTCTGGATGTTGTAGTCAGACAGAGTACGTCCATCTTCCAACTGCTTACCAGCGAATATCAAACGTTGTTGGTCAGGAGGAATACCTTCTTTGTCTTGGATCTTCGCTTTCACATTCTCAATAGTATCACTAGGCTCAACCTCCAACGTGATCGTCTTACCAGTCAACGTCTTCACAAAGATTTGCATTCCACCACGTAGACGAAGGACAAGATGCAGAGTCGACTCTTTCTGGATGTTGTAGTCAGACAGAGTACGTCCATCTTCCAACTGCTTACCAGCGAATATCAAACGTTGTTGGTCAGGAGGAATACCTTCTTTGTCTTGGATCTTCGCTTTCACATTCTCAATAGTATCACTAGGCTCAACCTCCAACGTGATCGTCTTACCAGTCAACGTCTTCACAAAGATTTGCATTCCACCACGTAGACGAAGGACAAGATGCAGAGTCGACTCTTTCTGGATGTTGTAGTCAGACAGAGTACGTCCATCTTCCAACTGCTTACCAGCGAATATCAAACGTTGTTGGTCAGGAGGAATACCTTCTTTGTCTTGGATCTTCGCTTTCACATTCTCAATAGTATCACTAGGCTCAACCTCCAACGTGATCGTCTTACCAGTCAACGTCTTCACAAAGATTTGCATTCCACCACGTAGACGAAGGACAAGATGCAGAGTCGACTCTTTCTGGATGTTGTAGTCAGACAGAGTACGTCCATCTTCCAACTGCTTACCAGCGAATATCAAACGTTGTTGGTCAGGAGGAATACCTTCTTTGTCTTGGATCTTCGCTTTCACATTCTCAATAGTATCACTAGGCTCAACCTCCAACGTGATCGTCTTACCAGTCAACGTCTTCACAAAGATTTGCATTCCACCACGTAGACGAAGGACAAGATGCAGAGTCGACTCTTTCTGGATGTTGTAGTCAGACAGAGTACGTCCATCTTCCAACTGCTTACCAGCGAATATCAAACGTTGTTGGTCAGGAGGAATACCTTCTTTGTCTTGGATCTTCGCTTTCACATTCTCAATAGTATCACTAGGCTCAACCTCTAACGTGATCGTCTTTCCTGTCAATGTCTTTACAAAGATCTGCATTTCTTCGAGTACTTTCGAATACAGTAATGAAGACTGTGCAAACAGCTGACGAATTTATATACTGATTTCTGGAACTTCCGAATTGGATGGTTAAAACAAAGGTAGATCTCAAGTGATCTAATAATCCATGCATCAGGAACTGATGATATGAGAATAGGAATTTGCAGTCAGGCAGATTTAAAAATTAAATAACATGATCTCATAGGTAGGAGAGACGTGATCTCATCATTGCAGTCATGTTACTCAATTATTTGCATCCTGATAGTCCTAGAGAAGAATCACTCTCATTTATAGATGAACCATGAGGTCCGACGATCATTAGGATGAAAAAAAGTTTTGGAGCGCTGTCATCAGCCTTGGCACAGCAAATACGATGAAACGTTTCAGGTCGGTCAGAAATAAGTGTAGAAGTGCAACCCGGGTAGTTCAGTAAAAATGTGGAAATAGGTTGACACAATCTGAAACCAGGCAGCCAAAGAGGCTGTTCTTGTACATAAATTACAGAATAAGGACGCACCATTAATTCCTCAATGCAATTACAAGGGCGCGCTCGTTTAAAAAAGGGCAGTGATTTTTGTACTTGTTGTGATTATACTTTCTTTGGGTACTTATTACACCAAAAAGAATTCTTGGTCTACTTTAACTTAAAGTACTTTGGTTAAAGTTTGAAATTTTTTGCTAAATTTTGTCCTGAGTACCTTTTTTACCCCTGACTAACACTTGTGTTCACATTGTGATTAATTTGTGTTTTTTTAAACCTTTTAAATCGAATTACAATGGTCGGTAAGACTCACAAATGTGGGCAACCAAATTGTTTGTTCCTCGTTGAGGAGGGAATGCGATGTGACGATTGTAAAAAGTGGTACCACAAAATGTGTACACGACTAATTCCGACGGCTTACAAGAGATACTTGAGGCCTAACTCGCGTTGGCTTTGTATATTCTGCTGTGCGGTTAAAAAGGTATTAATTCATGAGGCTATGGGCCTAATGACTTTGGCCTGCAAGAAAAACGATGGCGGAAGCAATGATAACAAGAGCACTGACGGAGATGAATGTGTCAGTGTAATAAGTGCTGCTACCGGTCCCGTTAAACTCATGACTGTGGTTGACATCGGCATTCATACACCTCTAGTCGAAATAGAAGATCCGTATATAACTGTCGCCGCTCCACATAGTCCAGGTGTGGCTGTCTTGAGTGGTGACAAATAGACTTCAGTAAGGAGAAAAAAATGGGAAGAAAAGGACTGGGCAAAACGCAGCTGGTTTACAAGGCATTGGAAGGGACGTTATCAGAAGAAAAATTCTCACCGCGTGACAAGACAGATCTCTCTGAGAGATCAGTCATTTTCCATAAGATAAGAGAATCTTCAGGTAAAGAACCGAAGGCGAGATTTGAACACGATCTTAATCATATTAAGACATCATTAAGTAAACTACTCCCAGATACAGTTTCAGGAGTTAGTATTTGTAAGCTTTATAGAATAGGAGAAAAGGTGGATTCCGAAAGTCCTCCGAAAAACCGCCTCCTAAAGGTTACATTCAACACGGTGGAAGAAAGGAACTTGATTCTAAGTAATTCACGTAAGCTGATAGGATCCGGAATATATGTCCGTCAGTATCTCAGCCTAGGAGATCGTATTAAGAGACGAGCTGCAGAAGCTGAGATAAATGAACGTCGCCAAAACGGGGAACGAAACTTTGTTCTTAAGGATTTTCAAGTTGTAAAAGTTCGGAGCAAAACGATCCCCAAGCCACTTTGGGTGGCAAGGGAAAGCTCTCCACAGACTTAAAGGTCTGCTACACAAATGCTCGCAGCCTACTAAATAAAATGGCGGAGCTCAAGTCAGTGATAGATAAAGAAAAACCAGACGTTATTGCTATCTCAGAAATATTAGACAGTGAAATCCAGTTGACTGGTTTCATAACCAGTAGGACTGATAGATTAAACCGTAGGGGAGGCGGGGTTATTCTGTATACGAAAAGCTGAGACAGTAGCACATGTTTCAGGGACATGTGAACTGGTGAGATGTAAGTTGAAATGCCTACGGCAAGATATTGAGTGTGTAGCAGATGATTTTATCCTAAGTAAACTTAAATTCTGGTGTAACAACGGTAAAACTCTTATAGTAGGCGATTTTAATGCACCCCATATAAACTGGGTTAACCTAGAAGTAGGGTCATCCATATCTTCGTTCGACTGCAAACTGTTAGAAACCTCGATTGGACTAGCATTATTACAACACATTATAGATCCCACAAGATACGACTTAAGAAACTCGTCTTCTATTTTAGATTTAGTCTTCACGCACGGCGATGACGTTGGTCAAACGGCTTTTCTTCCACCACTTGGGAGAAGTGACCATGCACTAATCTTATTCAAATTCATTGCTGAGATTGTTTGTCAAACAGTTGCACCGGCCCGTCCCAACATATGGAAGGCAGATATGCAGGCAATTAACTCCGCAGCATCGGCTGAAAACTGGGAAATTGACTCAAAGGCATCAGTACAAGAGGCATGGACTATATTCAGGCAGTTATACAATCGGGTTACTCAACCATACATACCCTGGACTGTCCCAAAGAAAAAGAATCACGGACATCCTTGTATAGGGCGGGATATTCGACGCTTACTAAGACAAAAGAAGAAATGCTGGGATGTTGCCATCCGCCTTGGTACAGCAGGTACGATGGAACGCTACAGATCGACAAGAAACGAGTGTATAATGAAAATCCGGGAAGCTCAAAGAAAATATGAAATGCAGCTGGCACAATCTGCACTCAAGCAGCCCAAGAGAATATTCTCGTACACAAATTACAGAACAAGGATGCATCATTGGATTCCCAATCTAATTAAGGAAGGAAATGAATCTGAAATGATAGAGGAAGATCAGGAAAAGGCAAAGGCTATGTCTGACCATTATGGGACAGTTTTCACTCAGGAACCTCCTCTACAGAAGAAACCAGACCAAAATAAACGGTCAACAAACCACCTGCTCATCGTGAACTTCGATCAAGACGATGTGCTCAAGGCTCTTAGCACTTTAAACACGGAAAAGTCAGCAGGACCAGATGAACTACACCCCAAAATCTTGAGACCTATTGCACAGTATATCGCGGCCCCACTGACTGTGATATTCAATATGTCACTTGACCAAGGTGTGTTACCTATGGACTGGAAGGACGCAATCGTCACTCCCATACTTAAAAGAGGACCAAGACAACTTCCATCGAACTACAGACCTGTAAGCCTCACCAGTGTTGTAGTTAAGAAATTGGAAAGAATAATTAAACGGACCATGACGGCATTTATGAAAACCTATAACTTGTTGAACATGGCACAACATGGTTTTAGAAAGGGCGTATCCTGTACAACGAACATCCTTATAGCTAGGAAGTTCTGGATTAATGCGCTAGACAATGGAAACTCAGTGGATGTTGTCTACATAGATTTCAGTAAGGCTTTTGACAAGGTGCCATCTAATAGACTGCTATTGAAGTTGGAAACTCTTGATATTGCCGGACCTCTTTTAAAATAGATCAGGGGTTTCCTAGTAAGTTGTCGTTAGAAAGCAAGAATAAACTCCAAGTGCTCCATTTGAAGATCAGTACTTAGTAGGGTACCTCAAGGTTCCGTACTAGGTCCTTTAATTTTTATAATTTACGTAAATGATCTTCCAAGTATAGAAAGTCTCCAACGTTATCATACGCTGACGATGTAAAGATCTGACGAGTAATAAATGAAGACACAGACGCATATGTTCTTCGGGCAGACTTAAATAATATGATAAACTGGTCTCAAGAGTGGCTGATGCCTATCAACGCGGGAAAGTGTGTCTACATGCACTTGGGGGATTCAATGGTTAATAAGTACAATATAGGGGATGTGTCATTACAAGTAGTCCGGTCTCATAAGGATCTAGGGGTGACAGTGAGTAATGATCTAAAGACGACGTCCCATTGCCGGGAGGTCGCAGCCAAGGGGTTTCGAACCATCTGAGCTTTAAAAAGGACATTCACTAAGTTAGATACTATCATGTTCACCACAGAATACACATCCTTAGTGAGAAATAAGCTAGAGAACTGCGCTCAGGCTGCAAGCCCCTGTCTAAAAGGTGACTCGGACATACTAGAATAAGTACAGAGGGCAGCTACCCGTGCAATTCCAGAACTCCGGGGTTTATCATACAAAGAGCACCTTGAAAAGCCGAACCTCTTTACTCTGTCCTATCGCAGATTAAGGGGAGATCTAGTTTTGACGTACAGAATACTGAGAAATGATTTCGGACCTAACTTGTTCTCTCTCTTTCTTCCCACTAGATCGTGACACCTCATAGGACATAGCAGGCGAGTAGAAAAGCCAAGAACGAACAAAATATCCGTGGCATACAGGTTTTCACACCGCGTCATCAATACTTGGAACCTGCTGCCAGAAGCAGTGGTGTCCGCACCTTCAATTGACTCTTTCAAGAGAAGACTGGACACACAGAAGCATATTAGAAAACGAATAAAATAGGCCGTAGGCCTTCTATCCTTACTACACAAATCTGAATCTGAATCATCTTCCAACTGCTTACCAGCGAATATCAAACGTTGTTGGTCAGGAGGAATACCTTCTTTGTCTTGGATCTTCGCTTTCACATTTTCAATAGTATCACTTGGCTCCACCTCCAACGTAATTTTTTGCACCGTGTCATCAGTTCTTGGGACGTACTACTCGAAGAGATGGAGCTCGCTTCTATTCTTCACTCATTGAGGAGTAGACTTGACACTCTCAGTAGCTTATCGGAAAGGATTAACACAGACCGTAGACCATCCGCTCTCAATACAAGAATCTGGGTGATTATGCCGTGTGGTTTTACAAGACAATACTTTCTAGGCCAATTGGGTGGCCATCACACATTTCAGGACGGTCATGTGTCTGTGGTGGGCTTTCACAAAGGTGGATAAAACTTTGTTCTACACTCTTTACACAGCATTACGTTCCCAACTCTGTTGCTTCTTTACATATCAAAGGTTACCAACTAGGGTTCTCCAAGTTTCCAGGCTGTCCTTTAAACTTCTTGCCGAATCCTATTCCAGTTTTCCACACCTATGTTCACATTCAGACGCTTCGTGCAATTCGGTTTATCACTTTTTCTTTCACCTTGAGGATTCCCAGCCATGACCTGCCTTGTAATGTTCTTTGTTGTTTTCCTTAGAGTGTTTCCAATCTATCTTCGGTGCCTTTCTTCAGGCTCCTCCTGAACTGGAAGTTGATCTCTCCTTTGCCAGAGTGAGTTGATGATAA